CCACAAATACTTTAGTGTGTATCTCTGATAGGGCTTTTAAAAAACAACATAGTCACTATACCATTATTTCACCCAACAAAATTAGTAATTCTTTAATATCATCTGATATCCAATCCATCTTAAATTTTTCTGTCTCAAAAAAAGTCTAAAATGGATTTGTTCAAATCAGGATCCAAACAAGTTCTTTAAGCTCCCCCAGTCTTTAAGTCTCATCATCCATTCTTTATTTTACACCTTCAATTTGTTGAAGAAACTGGGTTATTTGTCCTATGGAATGTCCCACATTCTGGATTTGGTGTGCTATTTAACATGTTCAATATCCCATGTGTTTACAAACTGATCATCGCTGTGGAGGCTTGATTTCCATTAGGTTGTTTTGTTTGTTTTGGCCAATAAGTAATCACAGCTGGTGTTGGGTCCTTGCTATTGCAACACAATGGAGATATTAACCTCTGCCTGTTCCTTTTTTTAGTAACACTAAGATTGATCACTAGGTTTGCAGGTTACCAACCTGAGCCATTCAACAAAATGTTTTCCATCAACTTTTCACCTAACACTTTTAGCAGCCTAGATCCATTATTTCACTAGAAGTCAATTTCTTAGTCCTACCATTTCTCTGGCATTTAGCTGTGATTATCAAGTGAAGAACTTTCCCTTATCAAGTTAACCTGATAACACAAAGAGGTCAGGATAATTGCTTCGTTTTTCCCGTTAGCCATTTTCCCAAAATAATGGGTTGGTGCTCTAGTAACCTCCAAGGTGACCCATAGTTTTCAACTATTATTATGACTTTGTGGATTTTTATATATTTTGTATTTCAATGTAATATCCTTTCTGATGCTCAAAGTACACCATCTTTGGCCAACAGGAGGCTTTAAGTTGGCTCCTGAGTCCTTGTGACATGACCTTACTCTGATTGCTTCCTTGCTTTCAGACACAAGACGGTCCAGCCTCATCTCATCCTTCCCCTGCCCCTTTAGTGGGACAGTCTTGGTGCTAGGCTGGGTCTCACCGCTGGGTTCCAATTGCTTCAAGACCTTTCAGTGGACAAAACTATGTGATATGTGTTTTTCAGAAAAAGAAAAATAAATCACAGTATTTTACTGGTATTTCCAATTGAAATATACAATCTCAGGGTTTTTACTTGAGTCTTGTGTCTCTTGTGTCTCTGAAAATCTTGATTTGTAATTCCAATGACATAATAAATATGTGCTCTATCATCTATATAAATATACAGTTTCAAAACAATAACACAAATATCATTGCTAAAAATAAAAATACTGAATGCAGTTTAAGATTTCTTTGTGATTTTTTGGTCTGTAGGATGTATTTCATTAGGAAACTGCAGACAAAATGCTGGGTTTTAAAGTCACTTGAAATTCTGTATGTGGTTTTACCTCCACCTTGATACACTTAACTTTGTCTTAGTTGTAAGAGTTTTTTGTTTTTGTTTTTTTAGTTATAGAAAACACTGAAAAGATCCCAAAGGAAAAAGTATAAAACAAGATACAGATCCAGGTGCTACCCATGTCCAGCTCCCTACCACCACTACAAAGGGAACTGATTAAGTTATTGGTATAACACACTTTCCATTGCACTAAAAACAAAAGCAGATGCATATTTGTTTTTTCATTTGTCCCCTCCATTCCTATACAATAGGTAGCATACCACAGATTCCACTCTTCACTTCCTCCACTCTAGAGAGAACTCCAAAATAGTCTACAGAAAGAGTCATTTCCTTTCACAGCTGTGTCATATTCCATTGTAGGGATGTACCACAGGTTTTTCCATCAATCCCTCAATGGAGATTTAGGTGGCCTCCAATCTTGTAATAAAGATCTTTGTGCATACCCCATTTCAGATTTTTGCCAGTGTGTCTCAGATAGATTCTTAGAAGTGAGACTGCCTAGATAAGGAACAAACTCCTATTTAATTTGCTAGTTATTAACAAATTCCATCCACAGGAATTTATACTTTTCAGAGTGCCTGTTCCCCGCTGTGTCAGCAACAACAGTGTATTGTGTAACTTGGATTTTCCCCCACCTTACAAGGTAAGAAATGGTGTCTCAGTAGTTTAAATTTGCCCTTCCCTTAGTAGGCATACCCTCCTATGTTTAAGGGCCATTTGCATTCTATTTTCTGTGAACTATCTGTTCATATCTTTCTGCCTAGTGTTCTTGCAGTTTCTTCTCAAAGTTTAAAAATTCTCATATATTAGAGCTATGTGTGCCTTCTGTAACAAATAGTGCAAATATTTTTGCCCGTTTATTTACTTTTTAACTTTGCTTTTTTTGGCCATCCAAAACTCTTTCAGTTAAAGATGCAAACTTTTCCATTTATTGCTTCTGGATTTTCAGTTATAGGAAAGTTTTCCTTCCTCTCAGATTATAAAGGACTTCATACATATCTTCTTGTAATTATTTAGGCTTCATTTTCACAGCTGGGTGTCTAATCCATTCAGATTTTATCCTTGTGCAGTGTGAGAAATGGATTCAACTTTGTTTTCTTCCATATAGTTAACCACATTTGTCTCAACACCATTAAGTCTTCTCCTCCATCAATAAGATGCTTCCATTATCATATACTAAATTCCTGGATTTCATATTGTTCTTAGTAATGTTATAATATCCAGTAGGGTTATCCCTTCTTCCCCACGGTTCTTTTCTAGGGCTCTTCTGGCTAGTATTATTTTTTCCAATACCTTTATACAGGAAAAAACTTGTTTTATTGGGATCTAGTACACCCTTTATACATATATATACAGATATATGTACATGTAAAATATATATAAATGTAATGTATATAACTATGTACATATGTAATATACATCTATATAAACAGAGACACATCAAAAGTGTTTTCTAAATAATACTCTGAAACCAACTCTAGGCAAACTTTCTTTGAAAATGAGTTTTAGAAGGACACGGATGTCACAGTAAGGGCTGCGTGAACACAAAACAGCCAGTGTGTGGAGGTCAGCGCAGCACAGCGCAGAGCAGCCTTCCCTCTCAATGCCAGCAAGTGTTGCTAAGCCCACTGGATCCACGGTCCTAGAGTAACTCGTACAGATTGGGCCATACCAAAAACTCAAGAAAATATACAGAAGCTGACTTGTTGCAACTATCACAGTAAAATTTATTCTGTAAAATAAAGTTGAAGTACATGTGTATAATTTAGCAAAGACCAAATACTGTAACAGAATTTTTTTAAGAAAACATTTAGCACCCACTGTATTTTTAGGAATTTGTGGATTGTGACCTTCTCTGCTAGCTCAATATTCACAAAATTACATATTCTATAACCCAAGGGAAAATTTAACTTTTAAAATGAATTACAACAATATTTTTCAAATAAAGCAAAATCAGTTGGTAGGAAAGTAAGTAAGTTCCACTTGACATTTGGGTACAACTTTCTCCTGAATCACTTGGCACATCTGTGGTCAGAAACTCCATTTACTAAGTGAACTAGTAACTTCCCTCCAAGGGCTGAGACCAAATTTCCTTCGCGGAAACCTTCCTGTACAAATGAAAACTGTCATTCACCCCATTAAGAGAGACTGGGAGTATGTCAAAAATACAAAAATATTACCCAAATTATTTGTACCACTTAAAGGTTTGGAGCTAGCCCTCTAAGATACTAAATAAAAAGTACAGGCTACTTTTGTTTGTTAGGTAGAGAGATCTGAACGTGTCTTGGCTCTCATGTTACCTTTTGCAGTAACATAGTTAAGGTGCCAAGTGAGACAAACTGCTGGGAAACTATCTGTTGTGCTTCAGTATAATTTGCCTATTCCTTTGTAGGGAAGACAATGTTGAAAATAGAATGTTCGATGTTTCTGGCCATTAATCCACAGTGATACAACCTTACATTTCCTAACTACAGATTTCCTAATTAACCATTTTAAAAACGCAACAGTCAAAACCATTAAACCTTTATTTGCATATAAACAGTTCTCTGTTTTTATTTACATAACCACCTTTTCCCTAGACAAGCAATGTTATTAACAAAACAAGGCAAAGATGCCTTGTTGACGACAATCTTATTCAATTTTCTTTTTTGGAGGGTCTTCTCAGCAGCCAGTTATCACATGGCAATTTTCACAGTTTCAAAGAAGTTTTCTTCATTTTAAAACAGCAAGAAAGTGTTACACTTGATGGTAGTTACTGTCAAATAGTTTAATCAACCTTATATAGCTTTTATAATATAACTTCAAGTATGTGTATTATTTAATCAACACAAACCTCAAAAACAAAAACCCAGCAACCAAGTGTTATCCCATTTCTGGTGCCATGAGATGCAAGAGTACCACCTATTTTTCCGTTTTAGTGGTTAAAAATGGAATCCAGTTTTAGCACCCATCTACAGGAGTTAGAGGTTAATGACAATATATGATCGGCTTACTGGAAGGTAGCAGTCTTAATATCCCCTCAGAAGGACATCTGTTCCTTATGCTGCATCCTGGCTCATGGAAAAGAATAGTATTAATTGGGGGGAGGGGCGGAGAAAGGACAGACTTTTTTTTCAGTACTTAAATCACTTCAATACTAATGTCATGTTTCCCTGGAAGTACAGAATTATATCACATACAAAAGATCTCAAGGAATTATGTGGTTGCAGATACATCAGGATAGACCACATTTAAAATGTTGAACATGGCTTAAATAGAGAACAGAGGAAAATCAGAAAAATTAATGCTAGTGATCAACTCTCATCTTTTTAGACAAAATGCTATCTCATCACTCCATTTCAAAAATGAAGTGAAAGATTCTAAACAAGTGATAACTTTTTACATAAAAACACACAAAACTGTGATTAACTACATCAGTTATTAGACATGGTAAATACAGGCAAAGAAAATAAAGTGCACCATTACAGTATATAAAATTATAGACCCAGTAACCACCTTTTAAAATGGCAATATAGACTGAAATATAAAAAGTACCTGACATAGCAAAGTTAGATAGAAATGAAAAAAATTTCAGTTGAAAAATTACAATTTTTCAGTACAGCAGAGGGGCAAATAACCTTTTATTAAAGCTATTAGATTTGGAGACTCTTGAATATTTCGATTTTGTGTAGGAGAAAGGAAAGCCATTCTTCTAGAAGGCACTAGCTGGTTTAAATGTGCAAGCAACTTCATAAAGAAAATATGTGCAAAGTACAGTCAGGAAGACTGCTGGTTCTTTTGTTGTATTCCTTACTCTGCACGGGAGACTGCACAGAATTGCTGAGGAACTCTATCAGTCAACAGGCTCTCCCACATCCTCTTCAGTGTGCTCAGTCCACAGTGTCACAGATCTCCTTCACTTTCTGGTTGAAGTCTTCTGGTTGATCTGCATACACATAATGCCCTGCCCCAAGAATGGCCTGGGAAAGGAAAAGAAGTCGGAAGGTCAGTGAACAAAAGCATTTAATAAAACACATGGCAAAGACATTTAGCAGTGAAAGTGAGAACAGCTATACAGAAATAAAATATAAAAGAATGAGCCACACTGATCTGTAGTAACTTTCATGTATTTCCATCAAATAATCTGAGAATAAAGAGAAAAATCTATTGGACCTTACTAAAATTTTATATGCAAAAAAAACATTCTAAACTGACCAATAATGTCAGGACCAGCAGATCAAATGAACCAAGTAAGAACATGTTGCCTTGTGAGGTGGGAGTTGGTCAGGTGCCACTGGAATATCCCTCTCCCACCTCGGAGATGCCACAGCTCTAGGGACAGGCACGACCAGTCTGGACATGAAAATGTGTGTGGGTCAAACCCTGTCCCTCATCACAAGTGACATCAGGTCCTGATGGAGGCTGGAGGTCTAGCTCAGATCTGAAAGCACAGTGAAACCTCACTGAAGGCAAACAATACAGCAGGTTTCACCTACAACTGAAAACCCAAACTAAGCCACACACTTACTATTGTTTTCACATATGAATGTGGTCGTAAAGACTGGATGCTGTTGCCAGAATTGCCATCTATGCAGGATCGGGCGCCATAGATCACCGAAACTGGAATGTCAGGGTGCATTTTACCAATTCGCTGGAGCATTGGCCTTTTTGCCCATCCATAAGGAATAGTCATATTTTTGAATGCTGTCTCACCACTTAAGGAAGAGGAAAACAACACACATATGACTTCTGGGGATGAGTAGGTACTGCACCCCCACCTTCATGAAAAATACTCATATTTAGCTTCTCCCCCACTTAAGAAAATTCTCACTTTAAACAGAAAATATACTAGAAAGTATAAGAAACAACCCCCACAGAAGATACATACTTTTGTTAGATAAACAAGGATGCTCTAAACTCTAGTGGATTAAAAGTCACCCTCTTCTAAATCAAACATGCAACCCTATCATTATTAAATTCCCTGTGGGGAGAGTTAAAATGTTTTTTTTCACTGTAACTTGTTTCAAATGTAGACGGTAGCTTTTCAACATGTGCATGGCACCAGCTTCTTACCTGGAATAGTAAAAAACCAATACCAAGATAAGAAGAAATGCAGATTGTAGATTTACATTTTTTATTTTCTGCATATAAAGACGTTTAATGTTTAAAAAAACCTTTCTGGCTAGGGAGAGACTATGCCTCCTGGAGCTAACCCATTCTTAGAGACAGCAAAGGATTCAACTGGGAACATGCCTGTCATAGGCCAACTAACCAATCCAGAGCCATGCCTCTTCTGTACTGCCCACACCGCCCACACATCCAGGAGGCAATATTCCTCTGCCTTAATCATCCCAGGGCCAGGTACCAGGCAATGAGAGACCACCCCTATATCTTAGAGCCCACAGAAATTATTCAACTACCCAATCCTGAACTGTCTGCCGTGCCCCTGCCTTGCCTTTCCTGAAGAACCCAATAAAGTTCTGGCCTCAACTTTCCCTTCACTGTATTTTCTGTCACCTGACCACAATCTGGTGCTTCCCTGTAACGGTTCATGGCACTCAGTGACCCCCTCCCTCTCTCTAGGACCTGTGAGTATGATAAACTTTGCTTTCTTGAGCCTCTGTGTCTTCTCCTGTGCCCACACCTGACGGATCATCACACAAAAGAACGCAGAACATTTTGCAAACTCCCAGGATAGACCCACTGTGCTGTCACTTCTGTTTCCTTGCAGTACTCGGCACAACTCTGAATTGCCTGCTATGAAGAATTCAAAATCTACCACAAGAAAGACAACAAACTAGCACTACACAGGCACACGTAATCCTGAAATGTAAGTGAAGAACAAAGCATGGAGACCAAGCAGAAAAACAGATGATGTACCTGGAAGGGACCACCAAAAACTGTGGGAACAAGTCAGTGGAGTGTGAAGTCCTAATCCACCAGACCCAATGGCCTAGTGAGTCACAAAACATCAATCTCTCCAGGACTCCAAACCTCTCCAGCCTCCTTCACTCTTGGCAGAGAACCTCTAACCTACTTTATTAAAAAGACTAAGGCTATCCATCCACCCCAATAGCTGCCACAGCCTCGGCGCTTTAATAAAGCAGGTGTGCGTGTTCTCTGCCAAAAGTGAGGGAGGCTGGCTCTGTACCTCGCCTCTCGGCCTTGCACCCGAGTCTCCACCTTGGAAAGGCTGAGGTACCGCCTCCAGGTTCTGCAGTATGGCCCATGGCCCACCTACACTGGAGTCATCTGAAGTCCTTGTTAAACATGCAGCCCAGGATCACCGAATCAGTCTTAGAAACAGGGCTCAGGAATCCTGTCTTTGACAAGCTCCCCCAATAATTCTGGTACACCATGAAGCATGAGAACTGGAGCTCTCCTCTGCGTACTCTGTGCCTGACCCTCTCCCTAGGAACTCCAGGGTCTTGTCTTCCAGGTTCCTTCTAGCTCCCCACTATCTTCAGGCTGTTTTCTCCACTGGTGCCTTGTACCTAATGTCCATAAGTCATGCATTTTAAAAAATAGGAAACATCTTTCTTTGGCCCTCTTGCTCCCCGTGGCTACCATGCTCACAGGCTCTTCCTCCCTCCCTCCTTCTCCCCTCTTCTAATCACTGTCAAAATACCTGCAAAACCCCCCTCCCCATCTTCCAGCCTTCACTTTACTCTTCACCCACTGCACCAGTGTTTGTCATGCTGATCCAGGGTCATTAAAAAGTGCTCAGCAAAAGAGGGGTACAGTCACCATGTGAAGTGGAACCATGCTGACTGGCATCTCCCCATGCACTTGGAAGACTTAATACCCTTTGGCATAGCAAAAGTTTCTAAGAAGATACACGGTACAGGAAACCATTTACTTTTGTTTAATCCAGTTGCCCTTTTTTTGTAGAGCATGCATACTCAGTTTGGAAATGCTGTTTTATTTGAAATTCTTCTTTATCTCTCAACTCCAGCTACCTTCTAGAGGTACCCAGGACTGAAACTTCCTCAACTTATCCATAAGCACTTTTGGGGAAGACAGTACATCCTGCTTATTAGTCTCTCATCGGCATCCAGTACAATGTTTTACATACTAGGCACTCCATTAATACATGAGTAAATTAAGAAGTATTAGTCAGTTAACTACTGATAAAAATCTCCTAGACTATTCACATGTTTTCAAAGAAGAAAAGTGTAAAACACCAACACAGTAAATTTAGAATCCTAACCCTTACCTTGGAGTCTGCACATTACAGTGGTAGATGTACTCTGTCACGGTGTCATCTTCAAACATTGACGAATACTTTCGTTTGAAATCAGGCCTTAAACGCTGCACTAGACTTAAGCCTACGTAACAGGAAACCAATGTTTTAAATTATAGTTAACTGACAGACTAATAGAGAAATGTTTTGTGTCTGCTTATAGAGTATGTGTTATATGCATACAAATCTACATGTATTCAAGTGTATATTTTAGGTGGAAAAGAGCACAGATCCTAGAAGCTGCTCTCCTCAAGTTCCCTAAGAATTAAAATAAGAGGTAAGGAGTATTCCATATTGCCTTACAGAAAAGCTTCAGGAGCCCAAGACATACAAGTTAATTTTCTAAGACTTGTTTTTGTAGGAAAATAAATTCTATTAAACATGGCAGGTGAGTAGAGCAGCTCAAGGTAACTTATTAATTTGTATTTCTCCCATAATTATAACATATTAGTATCTAAATAAAGTAAACTGGAATAAACAAGTCTTTCTGTGGAAAAATAAATCCAGGGTTTCTGCTTGGGACATTGCCAGTCCTCCCGGCTAAGGCCATCCACTCCTGAGGTGAGAGGTAGGGGCATCCTTTCCCTAGAGGAAAAAGGATGAAGAATAGAAGCCTCCATCTGGTCACTGTTTTCCCTTCTGGGGCCCCAGCGGCTAGCCAGTTTCCCTTTCTGCTATCACTGCCCATTATTCTAGCAAGGTCTTACTTCTTTCCTGGCCCTCCTTCCTGCCTCTGAAGGAATTGTACAGCTCCATGGAGAATTCTTATGATGTGGTTGATATTCTAAATCATGTCCCACCCTGACCACACATAAGCAATAGTAGGAGACAAAGGGCATGGCGTGAGAGGGCCACTCCTAGGCATCCTCCCTCCCCAACCATTGTCTCCTAGTTTCTTTTCATACTTTACTCTTCCCATAATTACTCCCTTTGTAACTGTAATCAAGCACAATCCATTTATATTTCAGGACTGTACAGACTAAATGAAGTCCTTAAATAGTCCATCAAAGGAGGACCAGACACCTAAGAGGAGTGGCTCTACTCGGGAAGGGGGAGGGGTTGGGGGTGGGAAAGAAAGGCTATCTGTCAGAGCACCGAGGAGTGTGGTGTGGTTGCCAACGCAATCCCTGTGCAGTCCCATGGCCCTCCCCATCCCAAATGGAGGCAGTAGGACAAAGAGGGGCCTGGGCAGAGGGGAGCAGAATTCCACACCCTCCACACCCCCATGCCTCTCTTCTCATCTCACTAACAGAACCTGACTCTTGTCTATCAGTTAGGCAGCAACCTGCTCAGGAAAGTGGGCCCTCACTCTAGCCCCTGGCAACAAATCATGATTTATTAGCAACACAAAAGTATTTTTCTTTGCTAGAAGAACTACGGGTGGGCAGAGACATAAGGGGAGACCTGCTGGGGCCTTCCAAGGAAGACTTTCTTCCCTGACAGAGCATTATGGAGAGAAGACCATTTTCCATTCTTTCCTTTCTTCTTGTTCAGGGTGCTGCTTTGTGGGATGGGGCTTCCTGCCATAGCAGCCATCAAACACCATGAGGAAAAAAGTCAAGAGATCACAGTTGCAGGCCCAAACCCCGACGTCAATGAGCCAGCTACTAGAACAAATGCTAAAACCACAAGCCTGCTTGCTAAGGAAATAATGAAAGGCCCTATGGTTTAAACCACTTAGGTGGTTCAGCTACTTGCAGCTAAAAGCACTCCTCACTGATACAAGTTATAAGGAAAGCAGAGGTCCAGACCACCATCACTGGTGACAACGAGGGAAGGTCTCGAGACTCTCTTGGCTTTGGGGTGAAGAAAGAGGAGCTGAGAGTCAAATGAAATTAAATCAGAGACTAAACACTGGTACTTCAAAATATGACCAGAAACACAAATCTCTGCGGAAAAGGATAATTTTATCTTCTTAACACTCTGACATTATGGGGCAAGAAGGGCAATCAAGTCAGGCTCTGTGATCTGCCAGCTGGGTACTGTCAACTAGCCAAAGGCTCTCTAATGTGACCAGCAGGTCAACATGCTGCACTTCTCCCCATGCCCTGGGCTGACTAACCCCATGGGCAGCATTTCCCACCTTCTCAGTTTTGCCAATTACCTGTAATATTTACAATATAAAGACTCCTCTTTGAGATAATCCTGGTTTCGTTATTTTTATGCATGGACTGGTACTTTTTAGAGGAGGAAAAAAAGTAATTTAGTTAATTCAGAGAAGGAGAAAAAGATTCAGTTTGTTTAAGATTCTGACTAACAATAGTGATCAGTAAATACTTCTCTACTGCCAATCTATAAACATTTTGCTTTCCTAGGATACAGATATAAGCACTCACCAAAGGGTCCTGCAATCCTGAGGCCAGCTAAAGGATTAAAGGGAGTCAATGCTGCTCCCAAGGCTCTGATCCACACTGGGATTGGTCTGTCTTGATCAGCAAGGTCCGGTCGCTCAGGAAAACCCCAAGGCTCCACTAAAATGAGATGATTAACCCTGTTGGAGGAAGAACAGATATAATTTCATTTGGCAAACTCACCCTAGGACTCTAAAGAATTAACACGATTTATAAAGCAAAGGTAGAAAAAACCACCTTCCAAAACCTTCACGTTAAAGAGAAGACTAATGGCTGACTAGTTACATCATGTTCTCATGACATGTAAACTATCAGATTTGGTAGGACTTGAGAGGTATATGCTTCCTTTTTCATATATGTAAATGTGGATAATAAAGGGCATGTGGAAGGGCACATAACTGTGTGGCTACTCTTGAGGAATGGTATTCGTTGTTGAGGCTACCCTCTGGCAGATGATACAGATCAATGACCACTCAAAAAAGCCCAATGGTTCCATGAAGCACAAGGCTGACACTGCAGAAATGACTGAAGATTAATATTACACTTATAAAATAGCTTCAGACACCAACAACAGTTATCTCCTATGAACCAATCATTCTAAAAATGTAAGAGGCATTAGCACTTAGGTGGGTTCAAAAGGACTTTTAAATGAACTTTCTACAAACACAGAGATATGTAATAACGTGGGCGGAAATTTCCCCTAGTTTAGTGAACATGAGCACATAGGTAGGGCTACCCATGATATCATGATATACTGACCTCAGATTCTGTTCCTAACCCTTTCCTAATTTTTTTCTTTACTGACCAAAGAGATAGAAAATTTTCAGCGAAATCTCATATAAAATTGTTTTGTATCACTAATAGTTTTAATTTTTCCATCTTATGAAAATGTCTTCCTGCTGAGGGAAAACCAAAACTTCCATATGCCTGCATCATGGTATTATATGTCATAAAGATCCTAAATAAAGCATAAAGGTCCTCATGACACAAATGATATTCAGCTATAACCAAAACAGCCAACAAATGCCAGGACAAACTTCCCAAGGATGAACGGACAATGATTCTAACATCCCTTTCCTAAGTCATAACTGAAACCAGAACATGGGCACAGATGGCTATTATTCTCAATATAAAATATTTTATTATTTTTGCCACCACAGATAAGGATGAGTTAGTAATGAGTCCTTTGCTTTGACTGCATTTTCTCAAACAGAAAGCTTTAGAGCACAGACCCAGTGCATAGTGCTCCAAAGGCCCTTGGAGAATACTTAGCCCAATTTTTCATCTCATAGATGAGAAGGAAGCTGAGATGCACTATGTGACCTGCTCCAAGACATGTAGAAGTAGGGTTAAAACCCGTTTCCTGACTCCAGTATACCAACCGATGCCAACAAGTCACTGGGTAGATGGCTCTCTCCTAAGAACACACTAAGCAACACAAGATAACATATCAGTAAAAATAAAACTTAACTTTTATCAACTCTAAGACAATCCTAACCCTATACTCTAGATTTCAGAGCATTTATAGAATGTAACTACCAATCTGTGTGGAGATACACATATGTGAGATTTTCATATACTTAAGAGTGCCTTCACTCTTAAAAGTTTTAGGAGACTATTTTCTAATAGTGTATGGGAAGAGGGATGGAAAGGAGTTTGTTTTATTTTTTAATGGCAGATACTGATATTGACTTCCCCCCAAATTCCTGTCATTATAATCCACAGTGAGATCTGAAGGAGGGGGAAAGGAGGGCATGCCAGAGGTATGGGTGGAATTAATGAAATAGTCACCTAGTTGAAAGCAGCAGAGATTCCCCTTAGGAAACAGCTAGAATTATTCACTATTCACTTAGCTCCTAAAGAGAAAAATGAACTCTTTATCAAAACATACTTTACCCTAAAAGATGATTAAATTTTGTTATGAATTTATTTTGGTATCCTGCCCAGTCTGCTCTCAGCTCTTATCTGCTAACCCAAGAAGGGGGAGGACAAAGGAAAACGTGAGGGAGGTCAAGTCTCATCTATCTCTAGCTAAGTGATTGCTTTGTTTCCACCTTAGTTTTGGCTTGCCTTATTTAATATGGATCTTCGAAATAGTGTCCCCAGATAAAAATGCCAGTTTAACAAATTATGCTAAGTATATATACCAGAGAAGATGACCTTTTTTTTTTTTAAGGGAGTGAACTGACCCAACAATTGTTTGATCTTGTGTCTTCAGCTTAGCATGGTGCTTAGCACATAGTAGATGTTCAGTAAACACTTGGGAGTATTATGTTTTTCCATGTTTCCTTTTGGTCCTTATCTATAAGAATATACAAATTTTATAAATGATATTCATAGGGTCACCTGAGTGGCTCAGTCGCTTAAGCGTCTGACTTCAGCTCAGGTCATGATCTCAGGATCCTGGGATCCAGCCCCATGTCAGGCTCCTCACTCAGTGGGGAGTCTGCTTGTCCCTCTGCCCCTCTACCTGCTCACTCACGCTCTCTCTCTCTCAAATTAAAATAAATAAATAAACTATACTTGTAGAATAAGCTAGGAGTTAGTCCAATCTGGATTTTTCTGGTCCCCCAGATGAACACTGTTATTTCTTATAGGAATCTTGCAGGTCACTACCCATTAGCGGGTAGTAGAATCTACTTAGAGAGTCAGAGTCAGTCTGTGGTCTTTTTAATTGTATAATTTGGAATAGAAAAATATGTAACAAGCCTGAGTATCATTCCATGGAACTTTTATTTCAGACACACACATATGTAATTCTTATTGTGGGGTTATAGTCAAAAAAGTTTGAAAACAATTTTTTTTAAATTTTATTTATTTATTTGTCAGAGAGAGAGAGAGCATGCACAAGCAGGGGGAGGGTAGAGGAAGAAGCAGGCTCCCTGCTGAGCAAGGAGTCTGATGTGCAACTCGATCCCAACACCCTGAGATTATGACCCGAGGCAAAGGCAGACGCTCAACAACTGAGCCACCCAGGCATTCCTGAAAACAATTTTTTAAAAGCTCTGCAAAATTGTCTAAACTAGAGTTATATATCATCTGCATCACTACATGTAAAAGGCCTCAGAAAATAACTGTTGCTTATTTTTGGTTGTAAGACTCATTTAAAAGATAGACCATGTGGAGCACTTAGGGTGTGACTACTGAATAATAAATATCTAGTAAATGTTAGCTAGTTATAGTAGCAAAACTAGGAAGACGACTAGAGAAGACTTTTTTCAGGGAGCATGGGAAGACTCACATGGAGCTGAAACCATGTGGGCAGTGAGTAATCTCACTTTTATTCTTCAGGAAAGCCTGAGCACAGGTTTTGGCTCACCGGTTATTATAATGTTGCACCAGACGAAGTTCCCAGGCTATCTTCTCACCAACTCTTCTAGTGAAAAGATTATCTCCTTATCTGATATTTGGTTTTAATGTATATCTAAACTATTATAATAATCTGGACCCAACCCTCTAATATTCCATAGAGGATAGCCTGATGGAATTGTTAGTTCATACCCAGGAGTAAGGAATGGGTCTAGCCACACGGCACACTTGAATCATCCTATCAGACATCTTTGTCAACAATCAAGAGACTGATTCAAACTACAGGAAAAACAAAGAACTGGCAGAGCAGGAACAAGAGAACAGCCCGTCAGTTTCAAAACATTTAAAGAGGCATACTTCTTCAGGTTAGTCATCAGAGTAGGACTGGAATTTGAACATGGTGAGCAGATTACAGCCTAAAGGGCAAAGTAGTGGCTAACATCTGCTCCAACAGGCTGGGACAGCTGAGTCTGAATGCTAACAAGGGTATATTATATAAACCTGACTTTCATGAGCTTTAAAGTCAGCCACCAGGCAGAAATAATACAAGAACACTCAGACCCAGATCCAAAATGCACAAGGGAATCGACAGGACACACTTACAGAACAAGGAAAGGAACAAGGAAAAGGAACAGGAAGAGCTCTAGTCAGTGTATAAGCAAGGCATTCTCAAAATGAAGTTAGCCCCAGGTATTTCCCATTGGCTCCAAGCCTCTGAGGGGAGAATGCAGCAGGCCCAGAGAACAAGAAACTAAAGATCTCCAGCTTGAGGTCAAGTAGAGCAGCCTTTCTTCTCAAGAGAGGAGGACAGGAAATGTTCAGCCCAGCTCTGTACAGTCAGGAGCCAGAGCCAGGCAAGGCTGCAAGGTCGGATGATCTGAAAGCCATTTAGTGCAGAAGTAAAGACCAGTTTGTAACCTCTTCTAGTGTATCTATTCTCTTTGCTAAACACTTTCTAAGTTAATAAAAGTTTCTATAGTCTCCTTTTCCTTAGTTTTTAACACAGTGTTTATGGTGTCCTGGACAGCAGCGGCCAGAAGGAAAGGAAAATTAACAGCAAAAAGTGAGTGCACAGACGAAAGAAAGGAGATGGCATGTTTGGCTATTACTGCTGGCTTACTCTACTGTCTCCCCATGCCCACCTTTAGGGGATCAGACACGGCCTAATGAAGAAGGCTTAGCAGAATGGCAGCCCACGACACCTCACACCATGAGTGGCCCTACTGCTTGTGACACAGCACATTAATTTACAAGTGAAACTATGATGGCCATCTCTAATTATTACACATCATGGTAAGAGAACTGAGATGAACGAAGGTCATTTTGGGGGATGGAACATGGGAATTGGGCTGGGACCCAACTACAAACCAGTTCCTAACTTCTCTGCTCACCAGCCACATGGCCTTTCCTGAATGGCCCAGGTGTCCACCTAGCAATTTCTGTCCCCACTGCATAGAATGCTCTCCTGCTACTCCTCTTTGAGACTCAATCTCAGCTTACATTACACTTCTTTAGGGCACCACACTGGGCCAGGTTCTCATCAAGAGTTCTCACAGGGGCACCTGGGTGGCTCAGTCATTAAGCGTCTGCCTTCGGCTCACGTCATGATCCCAGTGTCCTGGGGTCGAGCCCCGCATCGGGCTCCCCGCTCTGCAGGAAGCCTGCTTCTCCCTCTCCCACTCCCCCTGCTTGTGTTCCCTCTCTCGCTTGTCTCTCTCTGTCAAATAAATAAAATCTTTAAAAAAAAAAAAAAAAAAGTTCTCACAGACCTGTCCACTACCCTTTCACAACCCTCAGCAGCTTCCTGCTCCTCGAGTGGTTAAGTTGTATCTCTTACCCAGCACATCTTAAGCCTTCTAAACACATACAGTCACTGGACATTCTTTAAACAGAACCAACCTGCTGGAATATAAAGTTCGAGTGTTTCAGTCATCACGAATATTTCAATGGAGGAATCATCCAGGTGCTTTTACATAAAGCATCACAATTGCTGAATGCTCAGTTTCCAATCAGTATCAAGAATCGGGAAAATATGTGACCACTGCCACAAGTTAGGCCATAAAACACCTTCTATGGACAGAGGCACTCTGCTGCTCATAGAGATGAAACACCCAGGCTCCCCTAATGTACCAAAAATTAGAAAAAAAAAGTATTGGGTTTTATCTGTTCTCTAGCAAAGAATGCTTCCTAAACAAGTACATTAAACTAGTCAACTAGGCACTTTCATTCTTCTCCTCAAACTGTCCTATAAAAATAAACACGGAGAAGGGGCACCTGGGTGGCTTAGTCGGTTAAGCCTCTGACTCTTGACTTTGGCTCAGGTCATGATCTCAGCGTCGTGAGATCAACCCTGGTATCAGGCTCCGCACTCAGTAGGGAGTGTACCTGAGATTCTCTCTCCCTCTCCCTTTGCCCCTCCCCTCATTCCCATGCACTCTCATACTTTCTCTCTCTCTCTCAAATAAATCTTAAAAAATTAAAAACAAATCTTAAAAAAAATAAACAAGGAATAAAAGAATGGGACTGCTCATAAAAGATGGGGGTGGAAATAGCTTTGGACTAAGACAAGCAAAATGTTAACTTTGTGTTTTTTTCCTGCATGCATAGACACAGAAATTAAGGAGAATTAAAGAATTAAGAATAAATTGGTTTACTTCAGAAAGAAAAAAAAGGAAAGATTATATTTGTTATACCTGAGGAGGCAAAGAAAAAAATAACTGTCTCGAAGTCCATTAGGAGAAAAAAAGAGAGACAAGGAAAAAGGCACAATGAGTGAAGGAAATTAAATGAATCTCATTTGAGTTCTATTAGACCATTTCTTCCCTCTTCTTATCCCTCTCCCTGAAAAATCTTTCGGAGAAGCAACGATTTATTTCAATCTCATGACAGCACAATAAAAATGGTCCCAGTGGGGAAGGCTATGCACATGTAGAGGCAGGAATTATACGGGAAATGTCTGTACCTCCCTCTCAATTTTGTTGTAAACCTAAAACTGCTCTTAAAAAAAATAAAAACAAAATCTTTTTTAAAAAGCTGGATCAAGTGAGCTAGGTAAGAGACATTTAGAGTACGTAGCTCCATCCACAGTTAATACTGTTAAAAGATAAACTAGGCATACTGAAAATTTTAAGTTTATTTGAGCAAAAATCAATTTGAATGTAGCAGTGTCAAACCTGAGTGGTTAGGTGTGCTCCACCGAGAGGAGCTGAGTAAAGGCTTATATAGAAAAGGTGTGGAAGCAATTATCTGATTGGCTTAAAGCCCAGTAAGCTATTTGTGATTGGTTGTTCTTAGGTTTTAATTTCATAACCTTGAGATACTTATAGGCTTAGATTTTGGTTTGCTTATGTAGGCCACCAGAGCATTAGGGCCACCTCAGTCTGATGGGCTTCCTTGTTTCATTCATTTAACACAGGGCACCCACTATCTGCCAACCACAGTGGTCTGACTGAATTTCATTCAGGATTTGGGATATCTGAAAATCCCGAGAACCTCACTATTTTGAAATGAACTTGTGTTTAATAATGTAAGTTATGCAGTGAAGAATACAGGCTTCAATATCCAACATGGTCTATAGAGTTCTACTCAAAAATCAGCCAATTTAAACATGCTAATTATTTCAAGCATTCTCAAATTCATCTATTTACTAATACTTAGTGATTCTTCGTCCTGACATACAACTTTAGTTTTATTTCTAGCACAAGCATTCAAAAACCATTTTCTAAAATGTAGTCAGTACAATGCAGGGATCACTGGCTTTGTTTTAGATACTTGTTCTGCCCACCATGTCATTTAAACTATGTTGCTATTCTCTTTCATAGATGGTTTTAAAGTGTTCATTCTCTTCTGAATCACTGATTTCTTCAGGGCACTTCATAACTGCAAATGAAAACCTCACCAACGGACTTAAATAACAGATAGCCACGAAGGGTCAGGATTCTAAGACTTAGGGATTTCATGGCCAGAGTCTACCCCACATAGTCCCGTATCATATTGCCAAGGAATAAATACCACAAGATAGACATAATAAACTCCTGCTAAGAAACAAAAGAAGCCCAACCCCCCTCCAATAGCCCTGTTGTCTTATGCCAGAAAAGTATCCATTTCCTTCTCTTACTTTCCATTGATAGTAGAACACAATAAAAGACAGTAAACCTTAAAAGCCAACTAGAAAAAGAAAATCTGGATTTCTTTTGAAAGAAGAGGTCGGCCAATTGACAAGACTATACCATCTACCATACACAGGACTACAACTCTCCAGAAAAACCAAGTGTTAATGCTGAAGTTGAGATAAAGAATCTATACAGAAAAGGTCGGCTGTTCAAGGGCAAGAAAACTTCAGGTACACGGGGCTGCTGCCCTACACTTCAAATCCTGTGTTAACAGCACACCTGGAGTTATGCCATGGGGCAGCTTCACAGGTACATGCATGCAGACTGAAAATAACCATCATCCCAGGTCTCATTCACAGACCTCAATGTCAAAGTTGGTCTCAATTGTGGATTTAAAAATTAGTCCAATGGAAAAACACACTGGCAACATAAAATGTTGATTTTTTTATTTCTTTCCAAATGCTAAGCAAAAAAAAAAAGAGAGAGAGAGAGCCTTTCTTCTATTTTATTAGCACTCAAATGTGACCTCTGCTCAGAGCTGAAACAAATAATAGGATATAGTATGAGAAAATAAGGTAAAGAGAGGAGGAGATGGTACAAGATTCTGAAGCAAAATTCTGAAGTCATTAATTCAATTACTCTGAAAAATAATTCTGTAACCATAAAGGCAGGGCACAGTATAGTAAAAACCCTGTCAGATACACTTTGCAGATATATTTTCTGTACTTTACAAGTGAGAAAACTAAAGCTTCACGGTTGAAGGATTTGCTCTAAGCCAAAAGATAGCACTGGCACCAGGGCTTCTAATTTCTAACCTTTGGGTTCGTCTTATGGCTTATTATAACCTGGAAAAGTGAGGCAAAGACTGCTCCATCCACAGGTCTAATGATAACAATAATGATATGTAACAATACCACCAAAACAGTTTTTACTTGTGGTTTAAATTGTAGACATTCTAAGTTTGGCAAATAGAAAGTCCTTTCTCAAGCCTTCTACCAATGTGTAGCATGTGTAACAGGAAAACCCTGACATCATTATTTCAGCTACTAAATCGGCCATTGGTTGTGGCTGTTTGGTCTCCTTTCAGAGAATCTGTCTTTAAGGCTCAGACACCAACAACCACCAAGGACAGGAACTAGAGACTAGCACTTGGGTGCCTCTCCTGTTAGTATCACTTACCTTGATGGGTACTTCAGTGAGTAAGCAGCAGCCAAAAACCCACCCAAGTTGTGTCCAAGCAAGATCACTTTGTCCAATCCTAGGGCACATCTCCACTCTTCAATGGATTCCACAAATTGATTCTCCACTTCTTCCGCATCACTGTCAAACCTGGGCCTACTACTTCGTCCAAAGCCCAATAGGTCAAAAGCATAGACGGGTCTATTGGTGCAAAGATCTCCAAAATTCAGTGCCCAGAGTCCAAGACCGCCTCCAAAACCATGGAGGAGGACAAGTGGAGTCTTATTTGAAATATTATGAGAGAACTTCAGTGTCCATATTTTATTTCCATTAGATATACAAACAGGTTCTTTTTTGTATGTGCAGGGGACACCTAATGAAAACATAAAAAAAGAAATTCTGCTTAGCTTCACTACTCCTGAGAAGGGGAGTATTCTCAGAGCAATCAGAAATTAACAATCTAGAAACAATCTGGTATCCATTCATATGATTTTAGCCTTTATTAGGTCATTCCTAAAAAAAGCATACATCTTATTGAAGTAATTCTCAATTACCATATATTACATCTAAGTGGGAAGTTTTTTTAAATTTTATTATGTTATGTCAATCACCATACATTACATCATTAGTTTTTGATGTAGCATTCCATGATTCATTGTTTGTGTATAACACCCAGGGCTCCATTCAGTACATGCCCTCTTTAACACCCATCACGAGGCTAACCCATCCCCCTCCCCTCTAGAACCCTCAGTTTGTTTCTCAGAGTCCACAGTCTCTCATGGTTCGTCTCCCCCTCCGATCCGCCCCCCTTTATTTTTCCCTTCTTCTTACTATCTTCTCTTTTTTTTTTTTTAACATATAATGCATTATTTGTTTCAGAGGTACAGCTCTGTGATTCAACAGTCTTACACAATTCACAGCGCTCACCATAGCACATACCCTCCCCAATGTCTATCACCCAGCCACCCATCCCTTCCACCCCCCACCACTCCAGCAACCCTCAGTTTGTTTCCTAAGTGAGAAGTTCTATCTAAGTCTCAAGTACCTGTGGCTAAGGTCTTTCGGCAAGTCATGTTAGCTCTTTGGACTTCTTTTCATATCTATCAAATGAGGGTCTTACACTCTTAGACCTGGAGAGGAACTTAGTGCTCACTGGACCCATTATTTGAAGGTCTCTAACTTTGCAGACAATAACAAAAGAATACCTTGAATTTGTCTAACAGTTGAAGATTAATCATTGAAGATTGAAGTCAAACTCAAAAGAAACATTTTTCCCTAAAAAGTAACCATGAGTTTAGGGAAGGACTAGCAGTATCTGCACTAAACACATAACTGAAATCTTGAGTCACTTCAAAGTTTAGTAGAAAAGAGGTGACAGGGTATGGCAGGAAGTCCTGGCATGAGGTGCCAGGTAGTGTGGGTTCAAGTCCAACAATCTCCCTGGAAAATACAAATAATCACAATTTTGTAGATAAAAACTTTTACTTGCCTTCAGTGCTGTGGGACTCAATACTTTAACTCTCCCCCAAGTTGACTAAGATGAAACCAATTTGAAATTCCTTTACATTAAATTATCAACTGAATACAGACACTTTATATATACCACTTAATTATTTGTACATATTCATCTGCAGAAGACAAATACTTGAGAACTGGGAGTTTCCGCCCTTTAACCAAAGAAATAATCTCAGGTTTTGTACCACATAGTAGCAGCAAAGAGGAAACCCAGCATTCATTCAGAATATTAACAGAGCCCAAGCCTCCAAATGGGGGGAAATGCTATACCAGTTTAGAAAAGATGATCCAGCATTAGAACCAAACCAAACCACATAAGCATTTTGAGCACAGATGTCTGCATATTTCCATAGAAACCATCTGTAACCTCTATTAGATAGCTCACCCCACTGTATTACAAGTCACTTGCTTTCACACCTGACACTGAACCAAGGGCCAATTATCATTCCTATTTGCATCCCTAGAATCTAGCAGTAGGGAATCAGTATGTTTGGTAAATGCATAAATTGAGCACCCTTTTGTATCTCCTGACAAGATTTTTTTTTTATTTTAATAAACCACAATGTCAACTTTCCCGCTTTGTAGAGAACAAGATTACCCAAGTATACAAAGTAGAAATTTATTTTCATGCCAAAAATGCATGTAAGATGGCTAACTGTCCCTTCCTATGGATATATTCAGTTACAGTCACTTACTCCTGAATCATTCAAATGCACAAACAAGAAAATTCATTTGCGGTAGAGAAAAGCAGGCATGGGCAAACATCTGCACATACATCCATTATAATCATGTATGTGAACTGCTCCTCTGAATCCATCCCTAAATTATATCAGCAGAACAAAATTATACAATAAGCACCATTGCTTAAAAGTATACCCAAAGATACCAGGACTGCCCTGACAGTGCAAGTTTGGGTAAATTTCAGTGCTCATAAGAAATTTTTCAAAAAGGTTTCCACATCACTAAAATGCAGAATTAAAGAATCCTAAGAAACTAGAACCAGAGGGAACTCTAAGGATCATCCTACCCCTTCATTTTACAGATAACAAATGCGAAACTGAGAAAGTGACTTACACAAGATCCTGATATCACCTGACTGCAGATCTGGGCCTGGACCAGGTCACCTTGTTCTAGTTCAATATGTGCTCCACTCCACAAGGCTACCTATTCTGGAACACCTAAAGCCTATTACCAGATTGTAGTCAGGGGCCTTTGGAGAGTCCCTGAGACCCTTTCAGGAGATCTATGAGGTCAAAGCTATTTTCGTAACAAAACTAAGACACCTTTTCACTCTCATTTTTTTATTGGTATGCAGCAGAGTTTTCCGGAGATCACTAGATGTGATTACCAACAGCCTGAATGTAGAAGCAGATATGAGAATCCAGCTGTCTTATATTAAGCCAGACATTACAGAGATTTGCAAACAATGCTACTTTTCTCACTACATTTCTGTTTGGTAAGTAGTTATTATTTTTAGAAAACATGTTATTTATTTTAACCTACAATGGGTTGCTATTATTTTTAAATGAATAAATTAACATCCTTTAAACAATTCAGTTTTAATTTCTAATTGGTAAATACTGATGGCTATAACTGATAAACAAAGTTCCTTAAGGTCCTTACTAATTTAAAAGTATAAAAGGGACCCAAGACCAAAAATTTGAGAACCCCTGCCTCCCAACATTTCTGTACTTGTTGATGACATGGAAAAGGGAAAAAGCACTTTTGCCAACAAACTAACACACCACAGAATCTTATCTCCAGTTTCTGGGCAATGTGATTTTAGTAAACAGCTCAGGCAACTTACAAAAAGAAAACCTTACATTTTAAAATTTTCTCTTCGGCTTCTTTAAGGTGTGATGTAGATGTAGGGCACCAAGTGGGAAGCCAACCAGTTAGCCATCCCGACCTAGAGCATCAAAAAGAAAATATAAAGACATAAGTTAATGCTCTTCTCAACTCCCAACTACTACATTAGAAGAAAAGCAGAATAGGAAATTTACTGTCTATATGATGGTGAAGCTATCTACATCTGGCAGAATCCACCTAATACATACAAAGCATTGTGGTAAAGTACTGGGGAACAGACATTCAACTTCAGCCTGTGAACCTACAAGTAGATATCAAAATCCATATTTATGGATAGACTCCAAGTAATCAAGCAGAAATTAAAAATAGGCAGAACAAGAAATATGAAGCATGGAGTGTGTTCCAAGATAAAATATTTAAACATTCTATAAATGGTAGTTGACATTATACTGATGACAACAATTCACTAAAATTATGTCACATTAATAAGTAATTCCTAAAATGAGAGTTTTAACTAAGGTTAAATAGAAATTAGACAAAGAATTGTCATTTTTCATCACTCCTTACCTCAAAGGTAAGGCTACTTCTAGCTGACCTTCAATAGGAAACTCAGCCCTGTTCCAACATTTACTTGACACTCTAGTATCATTTTTGTCATTTCTTATTCTCTGTTTTCTAGCCATACAATATTCCCTATTCTCTTGCTTCCTGACCCTGAATATCCTTGGAATATGCATCTCCCCTTCTTTTCATGATCCATTATACCTCTCACCAACCTCAGATTAGATTTCATTCCCCCTTCACCCACATACCCGAACCAGATTAGATCAGGGTAGCAGGATAGCATCCAATTCTAAAGCTCTATTCTTTTCCTTCTCAAGTTGTGTTACAACATTCTTATTTACTCACCAATATCCTCACCCAACTGTATGATCCTTAAAGGTAAGGACTCTGTGTTCACCAATGCATATTATTATACACTGATGTTATAATTGAAGTTTTTGCTTCATCTGAAATGTACTGGCTACAATGAATTACAAGTGGATCACTTGAGTGATAAGAGAATTTTCTGGGATGATAGTGACATTCTCCATCTTAATAGGTGATTGATTGGATTACACAGATGTATGCGTATGTCAAAATTCAGCAAATGAACACTTAAAATTTAAGCATTTCATCATAATGCAATTTTATGCTAAAAAGAAAAAAGCAAAACAGGCTGGATTTGATAACTGGTTGGATAGAAAGAAGGTGTAATAGAGGATTCCTAGGTTTCTGAGTCAGGTACCACTAATAACCACAGAGAACATATGAATAAGAATAGGTGTGAGAAATGTGCTAAGTTTGGATGGGTGGCTCTAACATCCATTCTAAGCTTTGTAGGCTCATTCTACATTTGCCTGCCCTATAGAATTTCTCTGGGCATTATGTAGAACAGCTGCTCAATATATGTTTTGCAGAATGATTAAGTCACTCACAATAGAGGGTATTCTCAATCCAAGTTATTCCCATTTTGTAGATGTGAAAAGTAAGGTTCAGAAATGTTAAGCACCAGGTCCAAGAGTATTAAGGTAGTAAGGAAATGATACAAGTAGAGATTTAAATTCAATTCCGCGTGACTTCAAAGGCCTTTTTTTTTGGTGACTACCTTCCTTAAAATGTGTGAGGAGCAGTCATGACCTACAGGATAAAGTCACAGGACAAAGTCACATTCCTTTGGCCTGCATGGAAAAGAAGATACATAATAGCCTGCATTATAACCAGGCTCCACTCCAGATGTTCTCTGTGCTAGTTTCAAACCTTCTACATTAACAGGGTAAGAGGACAGGACCCCTAAGCATCCCCCATAAATGTTTCATATAACTTATTATCAAGGTAAAAACATAACAGAAAACATTACTAGTCAATTTGTAAATAAAGCTATTTATAAATTATCAAGGAAAAACAATTCAAAGTTTTAGCAATGAGTTTTTCAATCATTCAACAATTTATCAATTGTTGAAAAAAAAAACCAGTTAACAAGCAGTTAAAAGAATCTCATGATCTTTGGAGCTTAAAATTTAAAAAGTAAGCCATTATTTAAGCTGAAGCTCTTTTGCTCTTGACCAGGAATGGTCATCAAAGTCTATGTTAGGCCACAAAAATATGAACTAGTACCAAGCGGAAGTTACTTACAACTCAATCTCATCAGTTTTCTTAAATAGCCTTCAAATCATAGCACAATTCTTTGCCAGAGAGAATCAGAGGTCAGTACAAAAAAAAAAAAAAAAAATTAAAGTGAAGTGAACTATAGTCTACTATTGCTCCAACTGACATCATGTTGGGGCAAAGAAAACACAAATGCAATCTTCGTTTCAGTCTTTAAAAAAATTTACATTCTCTGAATACCTACTAAGTACAGGTCCTCAAGTTTAAAATGTTATATAACAGACTGCAATAGGAATTATGCCTACCCCTCACCACAAAACCAATTTTCAAAGGATAGGATGTCTTGTCCACTCATTTTGCCTCCTAGTAATGATTAGCTCAAAGAGAAAAGGCAAAACAATGTTTTTATGTTTGCAAGTCTAGTGCATTACACTAAAAATCAGGGCTCTTCACCCACAAGAGCCATTAACCCTCTTCAGGTTTTCACAGCAACCTTTTCATCAAAGCAGATAATTGTTTTTAAGTGGAGTTTTTCTGAAGTATATTTAAACTGAAAAATCTATATTTAACAAAGCATAGTACAATATTTTATTTTCACTCAATGGAATTGTAAAGATACCGCTCTTCTCCTAAGCCTTGATAATATTTCTGTCCAATCAGCTTTGCCTAAACCAGATGATAAAATGTTTTTTTAGAGAAACTGTCTTCTACTTCTTTCTTAGAAATACTCTACACAATTGAGTTCCACACACATAATTGGCTCAAAGGAACATTTCTAAAGAGTGGAAGGAAAGCTGGGGTCTATCTTTTCTGTCCTTTACTTAATCACACTTTGTTCTCGAGTTCCCACAGTTGAGCTTGCAACATCTACTGTTTCAACCCTCCAAAACACCCATTCAGCCTCACCTGTCTTCGGGGTAAATTAAACTCATCTTCAAAGAGACCCTCTGCCCCTTCCACAAAATCTCCTATGTCCTCCAGTGTTTTACATTCTAGTCTTAGTGTGTGGAAGACTGAAACTAAGGACCTAAGACCGAAGCTTGTCAGATATCCAGCCATTGTTCTAAGGTCACAAAATCCAAAGTAAAAATTAAATTCATGTGGCCCAGCTATAAAACAGTAAATAAGAAAACAAAACAAAACAGTAAACAAGATACAGGACTTCCTCCTCACAGCTTTGGAACATAAACAGAAAAGCAAAACTCAACTTCCCTGTTTTATTTAAGCAGATAATCAATAAACACCATCATCCACTGCTGAGGCCCTACCTTGGGAAGCTACCCAAAGGTCAGTCGCAATATTAAGAAAAAGCCATTGGCCATAGGGACTACACCAATAAAGACAACAGGAAGACTTATCAAAAAGTGCACCAAAGGGTTTTCTACACAGCCACATCAGCTGAGCACTGACCTCTCAGCAAGGCTGAGGAGCTAATAGGCCCTAAAGCATCCAATCAAAAAACCCAATAAAAGGAATCTTGCTTTATAAGTCTGTAATAAATATAGAGAAAGAATCTTTTTAGTGAGCAGACTTCCCAAGTTAAAAAAAAAACACAAAACTTTGAAAGGTTACACCCGAGGTGGCATTCTAAGGAAAGACAAAAAAGATGTGCTTAACATATTAATAGAGTTTATTAACTTAAGAATCTGATTTTAAGCATCCTGAGTTTGAGAGAAAAAACACTGATTTTTTTTCCCTTAACTTTCTATCTAATCTGTTTTTTGTTTTGTTTTTTTTTAGATTTTATTTATTTATCAGAGAGACAGAGCACAAGCTGGGGGAGCAGCAGGCAGAGGGAGAAGCAGGCTCCCCGCTGAGCAAAGAGCCCAGTACAGGACTTGATCCCAGGACCCCAAGATCATGATCTGAGCCACCCAGGCATCCCTAATTAATCTTTTTTTAAAAACAACATTGTACTTATACCCTATTGCCGTCAACATTTAAGTTTCCCGGTAATCCCTGTTTGCTCTCTTAGACATTTGACTATGTATATTATTACCAAACCTGAATTGCACAATCTATAAATATTGTGAAACAGGTTTCAAAGTTTTCTGAAGAAAATATACAAAAGTCTGGCCAATTTCCACACACTGCTGGCCACTTAAATAACATTTCTAATTAGGTTATAAGTAAAGAGGATTTCATTACATTTATAATTTTGTTTAAAATGGCCTCCATCTCTATACTGGTACTGTCAAAAGAGAAAGTACAGTATTCTCTCTCTTTAGAGAAACTATGAGGTTTCACTTCTTTTGTAAATATCCAAATTGATTAGAGGTGTGAATATACATATTTTTCTGAAATAATTCCTCAACCAATGAATGATTAAAAACTTCCAAATTGGACAACACTTTTGCAAATAAAGGCCCTCTTTCCTGGCTAATGGAAAATCCTATCATGCCCTTTCATTTTAAGTAAACAACTCACATGATTCAAATTATCACTAACCATTAGATCAATGATAACTCAAGCCCTCTAATCTATTTTAACACATTAATTCACATTCTTTAACTTTTTACCCCTTAAATTTCTAATCTGTAACTCTTAAAGATCCAGAGTTGGAGAATCAGTATTTTACACATAGTCATGTCCTGGTGATATTTTTTCCCCAATTGTTTCCTACCTTCTCTCAAACAGTAAACAAACCATCCTGGAGTCAGATACAGCATCAAACATACTTAAAGAAAACTACAGGTGTACTTTTAGATTTATACTGCTTAACAAATCCAAGTGGCATTTCATGTAACTTCTAAAATAAGTTTATCTACTAGATAAAAACTAAAAATCCCAAGTCTCAAACTGAATAATAATTTTTAATAATAAAATCATCTTGGACGCCTGGGTGGCTCGGTCATTAAGCATCTGCCTTTGGCTCAAGTCATGATCCCAGAGTCCTGGGACTGAGCCCTGCATCGGGCTCCCTGCTCAGCGGGAAGCCTGCTTCTCCCTCTCCCCCTACTTGTGTTCCCTCTCTTGCGTGTCTCTCTCTCTGTCAAATAAATAAATAAAATCTTTTAAAAATAATAATAATAATATAAGTAATAATAAAATCATCTTTCCACACAATTCTTTATGATTCACAATCAGGAATGAAGAATTATAGAACAATGAGGTTAGACTAAAAACCTAACAATATAATATTTCTGAATGGCTATTATAAAGAATATAAGTCAAATCCTTAAGGACTCCATTCAGAGTCATATGTAATTCTCAAATGTATTATCCAGTGTTGTTTTTATTAAGTGGACCATCCTGGGACTTTACAATCGTTTGTTAAGTTCTTTGTCACAGGACTGAAATCTCCATTTGCTGGTCTGTGACTGGCATTTTGAAGAACAGGCAAAACAATGAAGTATGAGTTGGTTCACCCAAGATTAAGAAACAGAATCATATTCCCAACCTCCCAATATAACTTAAGTTTATGATCTTGGTTGTTGTCCTAGTCAAATTCAAACTTTGATTTCTTATGAATATATCTTTTGATGTTCTTTGAATATCTTAGGATGAAAAAATATCGCTACTAAGCTGCAAAATATATTATCAATAACTAGGTTTTTTATCTTAATGTTGTGTCAGCATAAATTTACAATATTTAAGTGTTTAATTCAATAAACATTTATTGAAGTTTACTATTTATGAAGCCCCTTCAGGCTCTACCAGACATTTGAGTAAGACAAAAGCTTTGACCTCAACGAGCTGACAAAACAAACAAATAACTACATTACAAAACATGGTGTAAGTGCCATAACGAAAGCTTAGGAAAATACCATAGGCCTTTGGAGAAGAGAGATAACAATCTGTGTTGGTTCAGAGAAAACCATGTGAACGAAGACATGAGGGGAAACAGGATGAGCAAGGAACATGCTTAGGAAACAACGAAAGCTTGGCTAGAGCCCAGTGCACAGGGAGGAAATAAGACTCCAAAGATAGAGAAGAGCCAAGCCGCCTACAAAGGGCTTTAAGTCAGGCTGAGCACCTATAATAAAGCCACTGCGTGTGGCTGCTACAAACAAGACTGTGCCTCTTAGAGACAGAAAAGTAACTGATGAAATAAGCTATGTTGAAAGCATGGGAACAAAATGGGTTACTAAAGCCTGCTATATAGGGGCGCCTGGGTGGTTTAGTCGGTTAAGCATTTGCCTTCAGCTCAGGTCATGATCCTGGGATGCTGGGATCGAGCCCCACATCTAGTCCCACACTGGGCTCCCTGCTCAGCGGGGAGCCTACTTCTCCAGCTCCTGCTCCCCTGCTTGTGCTCTGGTGCGTGCTCTCACTCTCTGTCAAATAAATAAATAAAATATTTAAAAAAATAAATAAATAAAGCCTGCTATAAACCAGAAAAGGGAATATGAAGGGTCAGAACCAGGTGATTCCCAGGAGACACTGGAAATGGAAAGATAATGTACTTAGAATCTACTGGACTTGGTAGATTTGGTATTCAGGGCAATGAAGACGGAAGGGGGCAGTCAAAAGATCAGGCCACAGTTCTGAACATGGATGACCAGAAGAATATAAGTGCCCTAATGAAAATAGGTAAGTCAAGGGGAAGAACTGGACTTTTTGTATTGTTTAGTTCAGGGGAAGAAAGGTGAAAATGACATCCAAGTCTGGACATGTTACATTTGAGGAATAAGGTACAAACATCCGGCACACAATTAGAAACACCATCAGAGTACTAAAGAGGACTCCATCATGAGGATGAGATTTCAGTTCTCTCCACAGATAAGATGCTTCAAGGAGTATAAGTAAACAAGACAAAATATTAAAACACAGATGAAAGATGAAGATAGAATCTTGGAGAATTATGACATTTAAAGAATGAGAAAAAGAATAGAACCTAATAAAAGTGACTACTGGCCTAAAGTAAGGCATGAAGCAAAATGTCTTAAGAGCTACAATGTCTGTTAAGAATTTTAATAAGGAGAAGCTATCTTTACAGTCTCAAACACTGAGAAAGACCCAAGAAAGATAAGTACCCAGAAAAATAAAAGCCCATTGAAATGTATCATTGAGAAATGCTGTGATTTTTAAGAAGTCAGATAGCAAGGATTTGGGAAGGAGAGATGGCGAAAGAGAGGAATCATTGATCTTAGCAGTCTTTTAAAAATAGCAAAATCCACTATCCTATCTCCAAGGCAAAGAACTACAGTCAAATTCTAATATAAATCCAGTAGATGGCTGATAAACCCACTGGAGGCGAAGGGGAGAAAAAAATCCTTTACCTGTAGCATTTTATGATTTCCATGATGTAAATACTACCATCATGGCTGATTTCAAGCTGCCAAAAGTTGGCAAAATTCTTGAAAACTTAGCAATCGTTGACACTACAAGCCAACTCCAACACACCACTGCAAACCACCTATTTTACTATCTGCTCTGCAACTGAGCAATTGTCACAGCTTTCCTCTAAACTCAACAGATCATTCAACTCTATCATTCTCTGGGACAACCTTTCAGCAATTCACAGAAGTCTTCCCTATTCTTGTTACATTGAGCTTTCTCAACTGTATTGCAATGAAAAAGGGTTAGATGTTGAAAGCCAAATGGCTTCCAGGCATGCCTGTCTTCACTAAGAAAGTCACAAAGAAAACAAGAATCATAGGTGCCAAAAAGCCTTCCTATGACCATTTTATAATTGTTTCCTTTGTTAATGTCAATTCCCCAACTAAACCTGAAATGTCTTAAAGATAGGGAACTTGATTCAAGACCTGTATTCCCACAACCTACATTGGCTCCTGGGACAGTTCCACTGTTGATTAACCAAATTTTGTTAAACAAATAAGCTCTGTATCAATGCAAGGATTAAATAACAAAGTGTCAATAGAGTAAGCAAAAGAGGCAAGAACCAAACATCCCACATGAATCCCAGTCCCACTGAGAAGCACCAGAAATATGGGAGAGGACATTAAACTAAATCTAGACACCTGGGGAGCTCCAATCCAGCGCTGCCACTTGCTAAACGGGCACTGGTAGCCCTTTCAGTTGCAGCTGCAAATGAAAAATGGACAGTAATACCATGCACACAGGGTTGATCTTAGGTTTAATATAAACACATTAGGCAGCACCTAGCAGGAGCAGGTACTTGGTTGTCTGCTTGGTACAGTTCAGACGACTACACTGGTATGGACACTGGACATTGCTCAAGTATACTGCCAAGAGTACCAAGGAGGCCCACCTCTGTCATGGGACTATGGCTGCTCAGCTGCTAAAGATTTTTTATAGTCTGTCCCCAGTGACCTGTGGACATCACCCAATCCACAAATTCTTTTCACAGTCATGCCCTGGACTCCCAGGTCCCACAACAATATGGAGACCAAAAAGTCCACCTAAAAGCACTTTCAGAAAGAGCAAAAAATGTTATGACAAACTAGGTGGGAAAAGCTACCAGTTAGATTCCTACTTATGTCCATATGAGGACATTCAGCATCTTACCTCAACAAGGAAGTTCATCAACAAACCAAAACAATGAACCCATTCATAATGTAAACAAACTTCAAGGGAAGAACCTAGTTTCTAATATTTCAAAACTGTCACCTCCTCCATCCCATATCTTTCCAAATACAACTGTCTTCATGGTACTCCATATTACTTTCTATCCTTTAGGTTATACTTCATATGCAAGTTTCTCCCGACATCTGAAGTAGAATTATTGTCAAAATATTAAACATATATACAGAAACACAAAAATTTATTTACTTTCTAAAAGAAATGACCAGCCTTGAGAAATATGGCAATAATATTCGTAATTTAATTTTTCCACTAATTAATTGCTATTTGTCTACTGACAAGGGCATGAAGTTAGTTACAGGTGGAAGAGAATAATTTAAACTTAGTATATCAAAAAGTTTCTCACGTTGGACATCTGTCCTCCAAATTCCACAAAGTTTCCTACATATACATGTGCTCTGAGGCGCAAACACACACTTCTCCGGTAACACCAGAACACTTAGAAGCAAGGGAAGATCTCTGAAAGATTATTAATTCTGAACTTGATATCCATATCGTGTTAACATTCTTTCCACTAAGTATCTACACATTAAACTCTTTCTGAAACCCAAAGTCATATATCCACGCCCTCAAACCCCTTTCCCTCACGCTGGGCTCCTCCTTCCCCCGACACCCCCAATCTCCTGCACTTTCCAGGGTGATTTTGGGCTCTCCATCTCCCATGGCCCCAGGGAAGCGCCTCCCCTTCCTCCAGAGGCTCTGCCCAGGCGGCGCATTCGTTCCTGTCCCCTCCAGAGAGAACAGCGCGCATCTGCAGACAGAAGCCGCGCTCAGAAGTGCACGAGTGACTGAGCCGTTTCCGCTGGCTCGAGGCAGGTGTGGGGACCGCCAGCCACCGCCCGCCGGCCGCCCCCGGGCAGGCGGGGTCCGAGGAGTCCCCGGATGACGAGCAGGGGGTGGGTGCCGGGCCACCCTCGCCGCCGGGCCACCCTCACCGCCGGGCCACCCTCGCCGCCGGCCCCGAAGAGACGCTTACACAACATCGCGGCGGCCCCTTGGCGCGGCCGGGTAGGATTCACACACTTGCCGCCCCTCGACGCCAAAGGGCGCCCGGCAGGGACAGAGCCAGGCCGGGGTGTCTCTCGGGGCGCAGCGCGGTCTCACGCCGGGCGGGACGACAGAGGCCAGGCGGGGTACGAATCCTCGGCGAGGCTGCCCGGCCCGACCTGAACCCGTGAAAGACGCGATCCCGAACCCCACGAAATCTCGGCCGCACTCACCTCTCGCAGGTGTCCGCCGAGCCCACCTCCTCCTCCTCCGCCGCCATGACCGCCGTCACTGCGCGAGCCACGGGCCGCGCCTCCAAGCCGGCTGACAGGCCGACTGGGACACCGGGAGCCGCCGCTGCCCTTAAGGCCACCGCCGCCCGCGCATGCGTCGTCCTCCCCCTCGCACCACGGGGAGGCGCGACCGCGCGCGAGCGCGTGCCCGGCTATCTGCACCCGCGTTTACAAGCTGCGCGTGCGCCCTAATGCCTGGCGCGATCGTGTAAGGGCGCTGGGCGGGGCTGTCAACCGAGTGTTAGGTAGTAACTGGTTTCGGTAATGACCGTGTTAATGCACCAAACGCTAATATTAACTGTCAGCGCTGGGCACGAGGCAGTCATTCTGGAAGTACCCTGGGACCTTCGCTGGAAGAGCTCTAAGATAGTATCCGATACACGCTGCATTGGTGAATGGAACTGCAGCAATGGAGGGGACTCCGGCCTTCCGCCAGCCCGTCCCTCCAGGTGGGTAGCCAAGGGGGAAGGGTGACTCAGGACTCTTCAATCAGTATGCAATGACGTGCTGGGGTTACAGTAGTGGCAGAACCAACAACTCCCGTGTGCCCCGCTCGCTATATATATATTGGAGGGATGTAAAGTCAGTGTTTAGGTACTTAGAGTTCTTGAGGGGGATTCACTAACCTAAATGTCAACATTCTTGACCTGCTTTCAAGTCTTTTAGCCATCAGATACTGCCTGGTTTTGTAATTATACCTCTCCCTACGGTAGAGGCCAAAGGCAGGCTGCCCCCAAATGTGCCATTTTGGCATAATGATTATTTTAAATAAAAGTTATTTAAGAGAATCTATGTAGGAGGGACACTCAGACCCTCCTCTGTCCCCTGAAAACAGGAAATAAATCTCCATGTGATAGGTACCCTCTCTGCGCCAGGAGGTAAAGAGATAGCCTTATCACCAGAGATGGGAAATTTAGAGCCAAGAAGGCTTTATAAACAACCCTAGCTACTTTTTACTAATTTACTACCCCAGCCCAAATTCTGTTTAGAATTCCTTACTAATTGAAGCTTTCGAAGTTAACTTTTCTATATCCTGTCAATTTTTCACAGATATATTGTCTCTTTGTCTGAAAAGTATAAAAAGTTCCTTCCTTGGTCATTTCTTTAGGTCTCAATTTCATTATTGGGCCTCTGTGTACATGTAATAAACCGTTGGATTTTTTTCTCCTGTTAATCTGTCTCATATAAATTTAAGTCCAGTTGGAAGATCTTGAAGGCAGAGAAGAATTTTTCCTTCCCTTCACTATCATTCATCCATTCTTGTGTACTGTGTGCCTACTATGAGTCCACTCTTTTAGTAGCAGAAAAACAATGTATTAAAAAGGTCTGAGACCAGATCTCCCAAAGTTCTGGGACAACCTGGTGCTATTTACAAATTCACTTCCTTTTGGTGACCTACTATCCAGTTACCTTGAGTGAGAGTGCTTATGTTGGAAGATCACCAGCACTTACTTTGACTCTCTAATCGGATAGTCAGGTTGTGACACTTTTAAGGCAAGGACATGGCCTGCTCTGCATGTTATTCCCGAGCTGTGGAGTCCAAAAAACTAAATGCAGCCATTATATCACCAAAACTAAGTGTACCATACAGATTGATGCCTGGTGCCCCACTGGTTCCAAGGTTGGCTTTAATCCCAACAGGGATTTTTTTAGGGAAAATGCCAACGTAGGGATCTGGGCCTTTATCAGATGTCTGCCAAGCAAGCACTCGTAAACCAGAATGAGGCTGAGACATGGAGGGTTTTCTAGGGCTTCAATGGCCTGACTGACCTATAAATTCTTATAAAATGCTGTAATTAAACAAAGTGAGAAAGTAAGTACAGTAGGGAGATAATAAGGACATGGGATAGGGGCACTTGGGTGGCTCAGTTGCTTAAGCGTCCAACTCTTGATATTGGCTCAGGTCATGATCTCAGGGTCATGAGACCAAGCCCCATGTTGGGCTCTGTTCTCAGCATGGAGTCTGCCTGAGATTCTCTCTCTTCCTTTCCCTCTGCCCTTCTCCCTACCCTGCCTGCCCACTCATGTGTGCTGGCACTCTCTTTCTCTCATAAGAATGCCCATGATTAAATACTCCCATAATATGAAATACCATAACAGCAATTAATAAAAATGAGGTAAATCTATATGCACTAATTTGGAAAGCTCTCCAGAGCATACTGATATGTAGACAAAGCAAAATCCATGGAATGTGAGCCAAAAGTTGGTTCTTTGAGATTAATAAAATTGATAAACTCCTAGCTAACTAATCAAGGAAAAAAAAAGCATGAATGAAGACTATCAGGTTTGGAAAAAAGGATGTGACCTCAGATCTTACCAACATTAGGATGATAAGGAGGCAATATTACAAATAGCTTTATGCCAATGAATTTGACAACTTAGATAAAATAGACAAGATATTTAGAAAACATAATTTGCCAAAAACTGACAAGATAAAAATAAGAAACTTGAACAACTCAATATTTATTTTTTAAAGCTTGAATTTTTTAAAAACTTAATTTTTAAAAACTTCCTACAAAGAGAAGTATTTTTTCAAATAATTAAGTAATCGCCCCCATGGTAGAGTAAGATGGTCATAAATTCTTTACTGCTTCCCACATTGAAAGTTGGAGTCTATCTTCTCTCCCCTTTAGTCTGAGCTGTGATTTGTTTTGACCATTAAAATGTGGCAGAAGTGATGCTGCAGTTTCCAAGGCTGGAACTTAAGGGATCGATAGCTTCAATATTTACCAATTCTTATAATTCCTTTTGAAAGTCTGACTACCCCGAGACTACCATGCTGTGAGGAAGCTCTGCTGGCCACGTGGAGAGCACTGCAGCACCAGACTTCTAAGATTTCCAGCCCACTCTCCACCGAATGCAGCTGAGTGAATGACATCAACCGACACCAGGTGGATTAAAGTATGTGTCCAGATGAACTTAAATTCCTGACCCAAATGATGGTGAAAACAAAAACAAAATGGTGGTTGTTTTAAGCCACTATATTTTGAAATTTGCATTTCCCTGATGACTAGTGATGTTGAGCGTCTTTTCACATGCTTATATCCTTTTCAATGAAATGTCTGTTCATGTCTCTTGCCCATTTTCCAACTGTTGAGTTTCAAGAACTTTTTATGTTCTCTAGATACTAGTTCTTTGTCAGATATATGGTCTGAAAATATTTTCTCCCATAGGCAGCTTGTGTTCTCATCCTTGTCACTTGGGCTTTTGCAGAACAAAGTTTTTAATCTAATGAAATCCAATGTATTGATTTTTTAATGGGCTTATGCTTTGATGTTGTCTAAGACCTCTTTGCCTAACCTGAGGTCCCAAAGATTTTCTCCTTTGTCCTTTTCTAAAAGTTTTATGGTTTTCATGTTACATTAAGTCCATGATTCATTTTGAGTTAATATTTGTATAAAGTAAGAGGTTTGGTTCAGGGGTGTTGTTTATTTATTGCCTATGGCTATCTAATTGCTCCGGCACCATTTGTTGAAATCACAAATAGTTTTTGATATATTGCTCAGTAGCCTTTCGTGCTCTTATGAAAGAAGTAAGATGTGTGAACGATGGTAGATATTTTTCAGGGTAAGGAGATTTGCAGGGGTGGACATGAAGAGGTGCTCAAATCCCCCTTCAAGGAAGGACTTATTCCATGCATAGTTGCCCTGAGAGTTTCAGTGGAACAGCTTTCCGTTCCTTCAGGGAACACCTTACCTACAAAGAGCCACCTCACCAAGGTCATGCCCTTCAGAGGAAAACTCACATCTAATAATGGCTGGAGGTAGGAATACAAAGGATCAGCCATTTCCACCCAAAATGGGACAGTTCAGATGAGCCTTTTTGGCTCCAGAACTCCCCGTGGCTGAGGCTGTCAAGCCTGCATCGAAGCTCAGCTTCTTCCCAGTCCCACTTACCCCCTCCTTCCCATGGGTGTTGATCACAAGGGCACTCCCTGAACATTAAGCTCTGTCTCAGAGATTGCTTCCTGCAGAAGCCAAACTGTGATACTTGTTTTCATTTGTATTTAATAAGCATGGCATTTGGTTTAGGTGTTGACAAGTGAAAAGGTTATAACTTGGTGGTTTTTATGCTATAATTATAGGAGCCAGTTATGACAGGAAAACTTTCCTCAGAAAGTCTACTCTCAACACGCACCCCTCAAATGAGGAAAGGAAGCTGAAGTTAGGGAGAAGACAGATATGAGTGGTAAGATTAGCACAGGCATGCATAAAAAAAGAAAGAGAAAGATCACAAGTGAAATAGAGTGAGAACTGCAATATGATGTCCCCTCTGTCACCATGGCTTGTAGTGGTGCCAACACTGGGAAGCTAGATGTGTGGGTCAGTATCCAGAAGTACAGCAAGGCCAAATCTCCCATCAACATTTGAAGGTGGGGGCAGGGAGGCGAGGGGAAAGGGGCTTGCATTCAATTTCCGGTCATGTCCCCTGTCCCCTGGAAATTTGAAGTCATGATGATATGGGGAGAGAAGTTTAACAGTGTTCCTTTCCTCTACCTTCCGTATCATTTGATTATAATAGAAGAACCCTGGATTTTTATTTTCAGTAGAATCAATGTTTCTTAAAACATTTTTCCTACCATATTTCAAATCTTTAAACCTTTATTTTCCTTCTGGTTGTTTTTTTTTCTTATCAGCGCATGCTGAAATAATAGGCATCCTCATAAATCAGGAAAATGGCCTCCAAAATGTTGACACTGAAAATGTCAGTTGTTTTTCTATGTTTGAACTTCCAAGAGCAAAACCCTTCTACGTAGTCATTATTTATGCCCCTGAACATTTTGTAGCAGGGGCAGGTTTATACGGTAACAGAAAGTGTTCATACCCATAATTCCCTCTGACATTAATGTTGCCTCTTGATTCACCCCCTCACCATTTTGAAAATGCATCCTTCAGTTTAATACAGCTTATTGAATATCCATTCCATTTAGTCGGCACTTATGGGAGAAAACAAACAGCAACTGGTATCTTGGCTCTATTAGATTTTCTGACAAGTGGGAAATATCTGTTTGTGATGCAATAAATACTTGGTTCTAAGTAATTCAGCAAATTGGCTTATTTAGCTTTAGCTCTACAG